GCCCCCACGGCTGAAAGGGCGAGCATGTTTGGTGGGACGGGGATAATCTCTTGTGAGCTGGGAAGAGTAAAATACTCTTAACGGGCATTAAATAAAATCAAATGCTGTCTGTAAAACTGTAAATACGAAAAAACTTTTTTCGTGAGGTCAAGCCTCATAGATTAAACATTGTCAATGCATGTCGAGTTTATTTGTATGACTAACAACGTGTGTAATATTACAAAACATTTTGTAAATTTATGCACGTATTAAATTTCAATATTTCAGATGCCACACATCAAAACGGAAGAGAATCACAGAAACATGTTGGCTGAACTCGGAAACATGGGCCTCGGTAGTATTTTCACTCCCGGATATGCAAGCTTGTATGGTATGAGCGATTTCCGCTGGCTTCACATCACCGACATCATCCACAAAGCTTGTGTAGAAATTAAAGGTGTAGACCATTCAACTACAGCAACAACGCAATCTGGTGGCAAGGAAGTAGTTAACATTATACTAGATCGGCCTTTCATGTATTTTATAATGGATAATGTTAGCGGGTTGGTCATTGCTATGGGAAAGTTTTCTAGTTAATAATTTTCACAAACTGTCAAAGTTATTATTAACAATAAAGGAACGAACAAAATATTTTAAAATTAATTCCATTGAATTATCAAAGATTCTATGATGTATACTCACTCGAAAATTTTTTAGCTTGATAAAGAGAAGAAAGTAGGCTGTTCTTTACAAATTCTTCCAGTACAAAGCTCAGCCTCTTATTGTTAGAAATTTGCAATCCTATTGGAGGCATATATCGTATTTTTCGGAATATAAGACGCACCCTTTTTGGGGAAAAAAAGCTACAGTCGCATTTGAAAGATTTTTATTGGACAAAAATTCAATTTGATACTTTAAAAATTAGTATATGTATTGTTCTAAACACAAAAGAGCTCAAAACATCAAAATAAGAATATAGCGTAAATCAAAAAAAGGTTTACTGTTAATTAATTTGGTTCAAAACCTACAAAATCTTCATTGCTTTCACTGTAATTTATTTTTTTATTATTTAGGGAGTTATAAATGGTTATGTTTTTAAAAGAAAAAACTACTATTGTTATGAATAACATATTCAGTTGAACCAAACTATGCATGCCTATTTAAATATATTTACACATGGCTTGTGTATATCGTATATATACATATATATATATATTATTCATACCTTCGGTGAAAAGGACGCAAGCAGATTTTGACATCAAATTTTGGGGTAAAAAGTACGTCTTATACACCGAAAACTACGGTATTATATAATTTTATAATCAGATACTAAAAACCAATAAATATTTATGAAATAAGATTCTCTGACCGTTTCCATTACCAGATGACCCCGGTCATCTTGATTTATCGAGAGATAGTTTATCTCGACACTTGATAGGTTTGAAAGTACAATTCTAATGAGCGTTTTTGCAGAAAAAGTATCGAAAATATCAGCATCGAACAGCAAAGAAAACGGACGGTTAAAGAAACTTAATGCATCAAATAATATTTACTTCAACTTAATGCATAAAATAATATTTACTTCA